AGGAGATTGGTAAAAATGAAGAAGGGAGAAGAAGGTGAAAAGGAAAGGAGGGAGAGGAATAGAGAAGGGAAAAAGAGGAAGAGAAAAGGGAGAAATTGGTGGGGAGGGAGAGGGAGAGAGAAGGGAGAAAGAGGAGAAAAATGAGAGAGAGGGGAGGAAAAAGAAAAGGAAGGAGAAAAATTAAGAGAAATGGAGAGAGAAAAGGACGAGAAGAGAGAAAGGGAGAGGTGAGAGAGAGAAAGAGAGAAGGGTGAGAGACAGAGAGAGGAGATAGGGAAAGGGAGGGAGGGAGAGAGAGAAAGAAGTAGACAGGCGAGAAAGAAAAAATGATGGTAGAGAGAGAGAGAGAGAGAGAGGAGAGAGAGAGAGAGAGAGAGAGAGAGAGAGAGAGAGAGAGAGAGAGAGAGAGAGAGAAGAGAGAGAGGAAAGGAGAGAAGAGAGAGAGAGAAAGGAGAATGAAGAGAGAGACTACAGTGCACATTATTATCATCGAGTCCGACTCAGCAAGCAAGCAGGAAATAGCCAAAAATCAGTATACATACCATAATACCTTCCGAACAAATAAGATCCTGCTCAGTGTAACATGTTTTTTCCCCCCTCCAAAACTGAAATGAATTTAACAGCGACGAAATCCCCTCTCCTCTCGCATACCACTCTCGCGAACTGACCCCGCGTCTCTCTCTCTCTCTCTCTCACTCTCTCTCTCTCCTCTCCTCTCCTCTTCTCTCCTCCTCTCCCTCTCTCTCTCTCTCTCTCTCTCTCTCTCTCTTCTCTCTCTCTCTCTCTCTCTCTCTCCCTCTCCCTCTTCTCTCTCCTCTCCCTCTCCCTCTCCCTCCTCTCTCCTCCTCCTCCCCCTCTCCACTCTCCTCCCTTCTCCCCTCCCTCCCTCCTCCTCCACTCTCTCTCGCAACATCAGCTGTTTTAATACCCCCAAAGTCCTGCATTTTCCAGACCAGTGCCCATTCGGCCCTCCGCGTGCTTTTTACCCCTCGCCCAGCTCTCGTCTTGCCCAATCACCATCCACTTTTGGAAAGCAAATAAGCGCCCCCATAAAATCCAAGGTAATTCCTACACTGCTCTACGCCCCTTGTTCAGAGATAGTTTCCAGTTCTTTATTCCCTCGGTAGTAATGCCCCGAGTGTGGTAATCCTGTACTATATATGCATTAACTCACGTTAAAACAGGTTGGGTAGAAAAAACGTCGGAATCCTGTTCTTGTCATGCAACAATATCTTGCAACACTTCTGTATGGTCCGAATGCGTTGGGAGTGGGATTTAATGCTGTTCTTTTTATGGTGTTTATATTTTCCCATACAGTTATAGAATGTTGGAAGTTTATGAATGAGAGCGGTTGTAGGAATGAGGGTGAATGGGAATGTAGGAGAGAAGAGAAGAGAAGAGAAAAGAAGAGAAAAGAAGAGAAGAGAAGAAAAGAAAAGAAAAGAGAAGAGAAGAGAAGGAGAAGGAGAAAGGAAGGGAAGATGGAAGGATGGAAGGAAGGGAGGAAGTAATGAAGAAAGGGAGGAAGTAAGGAAGAAATAAAGAAGAAGGAAAAGGGAAGAAGTAAGGAAGGAAATAAATAAGGAAGAAAGGAAGAAATGAAGGAAGGCAGGTAGGCAGGCAAGCAATCAGCCAAGCAGGCAGGCAGGCCGGCAAGCAGGAAGGAGCGAGGCAGGCGGAGCGGGGAGGCAGACACGCGAGTGGGGTCACGACAGCGCCATTGCTCTATATATCCCTCCCGCCGACAGTAATCACCTTCTTATCAACATAAACCTGTGATTAGAACCCTTCCCCCCCTAAGTCCCCCTGTCCCCTTCCTCCTCCCTCCTCTCCCTCTCCCTCTTCATCTCCACTCTCCCCTTTTCCTTTCCCTCCCTCTCCACTCTCTCCTTCTCTCTCCCTTCCTCTTCCTCCCTCCCTCCTCCTCCCTCCTCCTCCTCCTCCCCCTCCCCCTCCCCTCCTGCTCCACCGACCACATTTCGCGGAAATATCCTCCGCCGCGACACAGACCGAGGAGGACCGAAAAGGACCGGAGATTGACCTTGGAGGACCTTGGAGGACCGAGGAGGGGCGGCGCTCCCCCTAAACACACCGGAATTCACTCGCGGTCCTCGTTCCCGAAGGCGTCCTGGGGTGTCAGCGGCTTCAGAGGGTTCCTAAAGCGAATGGGACGGGGAGGGAGTGTGTGCTTGTGTGTGTCTTTGAGCATATCTGTCGGAATGTGTTTGTATATTCCTACAAAGTAATGCTTGAGTCCTTTTTTTTCTCTTTTCTTTTCTTTTCGTGTTCGCGTGTCATGATAGCAATTTTTTTTTTTTTTTTTCCTTCTTTCTCTTTATTTGGTACTCGTGCGCGTTTCTTGAACATCAATACTCATTTATGTGAAACGCTCGGCATGCTTATGTTTAGTATGATGTATTGCAACACAACATACCATTACTGGAAGGGATTCACTCCAATTGCTGTGTTTTTTTTTTATACATCTCTCTCAAAAAATGTATTTTTATTCAGTGTGTAGACGATGATGTTTTTTTTTTTTTTTTTTTTTGTCTGGCTAGAAACGTTTCATGCACATTTCCAAAGCAGACTAAATATTTTATTCGGGTAGACACGGTGCTTATGAGGAAAAAAGAAAAAGAAAAAAAAGAAATAATATTTTTGTTGCAGGAATGAAAGCAATTATTATCACACAGATACGAGTGACATTTTTTACGTCCCTTTGAAGTCGCATTTCCCGACGAGTGGAGTCTCGCAACGGAAACGGGCGAAGGAAACGATCTGTAGGAGATAAGACCCCCGAGGCAGAGAGAGGAGAGGCTTGGGGCTTCATCCCACAGGAGGCGAGGGCGAGCAGAGCGAGTGATGGGGAGGGCGGTGGCAGGAGGGCGGGCGGGGGCGTTCAGGATCTGCCGCGCTGGAATCGGGAGGGAGGAGGGAAGGAGGTGGGAGGGAGGGAGGGGAGGGGAGGGGGAGGGAGGGAGGGAAGAAGGGAGGGAGGAGGGAAGGGGGGGAGGAGGGAGGGAGGAGGGAAGATGGTGGGAGGGAAGGGGAAGAGGGAAGGGAGGAGGGAAAGAGAGAGGGAGTGAAAAAGGGAGGAGGGAAGGATGGTGGGGAGGGAGGAGGGAAGGATGGTGAGAGGGAAGGAAGGATGGTGGGAGGGAAGGAAGGAAGGAAGGAAGGAGGGAGGGAAGGAGGGAGTTAGGGGGGAGGGAGAGAAAGAGGGAGGGTGGGCGGCAGGATCGCTTGGAAGGGTTTTTAAGATTGGTAAAATCCGTCATGATTTTGCAGATTTCTCGTTCTAGAAACTTCAAAAACTTAATGATGATAATAATAACCGTTCATTTATTTGAATTATGTTTGGGGTTATAAGAAATGTATTCGTGACAGGTGCTTTGTACTAGATTTGAGAAAGATATAAAAAACTGTTTGTTATTTTCGAAAATATATTAGACGTCAGCTGTGCAATAATGTACAAAGTTAATGTACTACTTTCTAACGCAAATGGAATGAAAATGGCCAGGAAATGACTTTAGGAGATTAAATAAATCATTCTTTATGAAAGCTTTTCAGAAATGAACGTTCTCGGGATTATGCAGCAACGGTTTATTATTTTTTTTCAGAAATGCGTTTGAAATCAGCAGTGCTAAAAGGTCATTTCATAACGGATACTATTTCCTAGTGCGATAAGGACTAGAATCCCTTCCCGAGAGTAAATTCAGGGGGAAGAAAGATACACACAACATTTGAAAAACTGCTTCGCCCTTATTGCTTAGTGATTCAGTTTGCAAATAAAACCAGATCACGTTTGGGAAAAAAGTCGTAGTGTCATATGGTGCAAAATTCGAGAAATGAACTGAGAGGCGCGGAGGAATAAACGCTAAAGATGAGACAAAGGAAAAGGAGGGGGAAGGAAAAAAAGGATTAAGAAAAAGGGGAAAGAAGGGAAGGAAAAGATTAAGAAAAAAGGTTTGACTGGGAAAAAAGTCATAGTGTCATATGGTGCAAAATTCGAGAAATGAACTGAGAGGCGCGGAGGAATAAACGCTAAAGATGAGACAAAGGAAAAGAAGGGGGAAGGAAAAAAAGGATTAAGAAAAAGGGGAAAGAAGGGAAGGAAAAGATTAAGAAAAAAGGGAAAGAAGGGGAAAAAAATAAGAAAAAGGGAAATAGAGGGAAAGAAAAAAGATTAAGGAAAAGGGAGAGTGTAAATAAAAGAAGATTAAGAAAAGGGGAAGAGAAGGGAAAGGAAAAAAATAAGAAAAAAAGGAAAGAAGTGAAAGAAAAAGAGATTAAGGAAAAAGCGAAAGAGGTGGGAAAGAAAAAGAAAAGATTAAGAAAAAAAGGGAAAGAAATGGAAAAGAAAAGAAAAGAAAGAAAAAGGGGAAAGAAATGGAAAAGAAAAAAGAAAAAATAAAAAACGAAGAAGAAGAAGAAGAAAAAAGAGAGAGAGAAGGGAAAGCAAAAGAAAAGAATAAGAAAAAAGGCGAATCGGGGAAGAGGGAGAAAAGGAGAGGTTTTGTGCTGGGCCGAACGTCAAAGTCCGTGTTGCAGCAGACGGTCAGGTGCAGCTGCTAACCAGACAATACCGCTGCGTGACGTATGCCAAGCGTATTCATTTGCGTGCGTATGGTATCCGCAACCGAGGGGCTTAAGTGGATGAGAAGTAAGTGGAGGGTGAGTAAGTGGAGGGGGTAAGTGAGGTTGAGTAAGTAGGGTTAAGTGGAGGGGTGAGTAAGTGGAGGGCTAAGTGGTTTGGTAAGTGGAGGGGTTAAGTGTGAGTAAGTGGAGGGGCGAGTAAGAGGAGGGGTAAGTGGTTGGGTAAGTGGAGGGGTGAGTAAGAGGAGGGGATTAGTAAAGTATAAGGGGCGAGTAAGAGGAGGGGGTAAGTGGTTGGTAGTGGAGGGGTGAGTAAGAGGAGGGAGTAGTGAAGGGGGGTTAGTAAATGGTTGGTAAGTGGAGGGGTGAAATTAGTAAGTAGTGAGTAAGTGGTTGGTAAGTGGAGGGGTGAGTAAGTGGAGGGGTAAGTGGTTAGGTGAGTAAGTGGAGGGATGAGTAAGTGGAGGTGTAGAAAAAAAAACGTGGAGGGGTGAGTAAGTGTGAGTGGAGAAAAGGTGGAGCTTCAGTGGATTCCATGATGTGAGGAAGATGCGTGGAGGACGACCTGCGATAAAAGGACACGGGGAAGAGAAAGCCGAGGATTTTTAATGATTCCAAGCCAAGGATTTTTAATGATTCCAAGCGATGTGTGATGAAGATTCTGTGATAAAGGACACGGGGAAGAGAAAGCCGAGGATTTTTGATGATTCCAAGCCGAGGATTTTTAATGATTCCAAGCCGAGGATTTTTAATGATTCCAAGCGATGTGTGATGAAGATTCTGCGATAAAGGACACGGGGAAGAGAAAGCCGAGGATTTTTAATGATTCCAAGCCGAGGATTTTTAATGATTCCAAGCGATGTGTGATGAAGATTCTGGCCACACGATCGGGGAGCATGGGCGAGGACTCCAGGCAGCCAGGCGAGTGTGGTGCAGGCGCCGTGGTTCCGCCCTTGCTCTCCTTCGCCACTATAATGTACCAGTTTGTATTCATGACCAAACCCGGTGCTGTCTTGTACCCGTCATGAACCCTTGCGCATTGCTCCGGGAAGGAAAACGCGCGTCTTGTTGGCCGTGTCTGCGGATATTCGCGCATATCGGCGGACAGATATTCGCCGAACCGAAGATTCTTGCTAATCCGGAAAGACAATTTGTAGACAAACGTTGAAGAAGAAGAATAAAAAGACTCATACTAATCCGGAAAGACAGTTTGTAGACAAGCATTTAAAAAAGAAGAAGAAAGAAAGAAAGAAAGAAAAACAGCCAAGGTCGTTTTTCGATTTTTTTTCGTATATTTCTGCGACCTCGTATTTGTCTTTGAACGGCGAACAGATTTACGTCCGCGGGCACACGGCTCGTCCGCGACCACAGTCTCATATACCTGCAAAAATATTCGTGGTCGCATCCTGGTACGGCTGCAAGACACGCATTTTTTTTTTTTTTAAGCCGTCAGCTACGTACATTTTTTTTTTGTCTTTTGTAAGCACGAAGAAACGTGTATGTATACATTTCCCTTTTGACGAGCATATTTTTATTTTTTATTTTCTCGGGCAGATACAAGGGGGTTATATGTTGTATTCGGAGGGAACTAGTGTTAGATAAACATGGCGGACGCATTGTTGTGCATACAGACGAGATGCATGGCGCAGGCAGGATAAAGGAGTGGTGAAGTGAGCCTGCATGGAAAGCAGTTTGGATTGTGCAGACGGCTCTGGACATTATTGTGTTGATAGTATTGTTCGCGGCGTTGGAAAAAAGGTGTCATTTGCTGAAGTAGTACATTCTGTCTTCCACGCATGGAACGAAAATAAATATATAACTTCAGCAAATTAGAGATGAATAATTTTTTTTTATCAGTCTATGATGAAGATGAATATCATTTTTTATGTCTATGATGACTTATTCTGATAGGAATCGTCTTATTCCATAGATGACAGAATGTAGCATAAAGAAATATTTTCATTGCAGTATAAAAAAAGAAAAAAAAAAATCCACAGATGACTTAATGTAGCATAAAAATGTTTTCATTGAAGTATCAAAGAAAAAAAAAAATAAAGGACACCAAAGAATTCACTAAAATCTCCATATACCTTAAGACAATATATTTTCAGTAAAGTCAGTACAAGAAATCTTCAAATCACGAATGAACGAATCAAATTGTGAAAGGAATCGAAAAAAAAAAAAACATGACAGCAGCTGGACGTTATTGGACGAAATATGAAACACTAGAAATACCTCACATATGATATTGATACCATAATAGACAATGGTTGAAAACAACCGAATTTGACATAAAAATAGAGAAGACGGCAAGTTGGACCGATAGACGGAAGTAGACGCCATAAATCGAAGCTCGCAAACACGTCATAGACATGTCAGAGCGAGATAGGGACAGAGCGGAATGCTGACTTTGAGTCTGAATATTCATAGCGAGATCTTCCGGCTGAATAAAAAGGGTTTTGAATAAGTGATAGAGGAACGGAGATGGATGAGAGAGAGAGAGAGAGAGAGGGGAGCTAGAGCTAGAGCTAGAGCAAGAGCGAGAGCGACGAGAGGAGACGAGAGAACGAGAGAGAGAGAGAGAGAGAGAAGAGAGAGAAGAAGAGAGAGAGAGAGAGAGAGAGAGAGAGAGAGAGCGAGAGAGAGAGAGAGAGAGAGAGAGAGAGCTAGAGAGAGAGAGAGAGAGAGAGGACTAGAGCGAGAGAGGAGAGAGAGAGGAGAGAGAGAGAGAGAGAGGAGAGGAGAGATAGAGAGAGAGAAGAGAAAGAGAAAGAGAAAGAAAGAAAAGAGAGAACAGAACAAGAGTAATAGCAAAAGCGAGAGAGAGCGAGTCTATGAATAAGATAAGATAAGTCTATGGCGAATGGGGAATGAAATGTAAATATATCAGTGGCTTGTACAATGAGCCCGGATGTGAGCGGAAGACGCGTTGGTGGATTAGATAGATTGTTGTGAATGTCTATCAGTGGAAGTAACGTTGTTCGTTCGCGATAAGTTTCTCTCTCTTTTTCTTTCTTCTTTTCTTTCTCTTCTCTCTCTCTCTCTCTCTCTCTCTCTTCTCTCTCTTCTCTCTCTTCTCTCTCTCTCTCTCTCTCTCTCTCTCTCTCTCTTCCTCCCAATCCTCTTCCCTTCTCCTCTCCCTCTCCCTCTCCCTCTCCCTCCCTTCTCCCTCTGCCTCCCCTCCCTCTCCTCCCCCTCCCTCTTTCCCCCCCCCATCCCTCCCATCTCTCTCTCCCTCTCCCCTCTCTATCCCCGTCCCCCTCTCCCTCCCCCTCCCCCTCCCTCTCCCTCTCCCTCCCCTCTCCCTCTCCCTCTCCCTCTCCACCCCCCTCTCCCTCAGAAGAACCGCCAGTCTCTGTCTGGAAGCGACCTCTCTCTCTCCGACGTCCTTCGCGAACCGCTTCCCGTCCCTCGGCCCTAAGAGGGACAGGTGGTTCGATCCGACGCCGGTGGTTCGGCGCGGAGAACCGGTCCCCCCACCCCCCTTCCGCCTTATCGCCTCCCCGCCCCTCCTCCCCCCCCCCCATCACAGCGGCGCCTTATCTTTGCCCCGCGCTCGGCTGTCCCTCTCGCCTTCCCACCCCCCCTTCCCTCCCTTCTCCCCTTTCCCCCCTCCCCGTTCGCCCTCCTCGCTGCAGCATCCCCCTCTCCTGATAGCGGGGCGGGAGGGATGGGACACGGCCTGCTCTTTTCACCACGCTACCTGCTCTGCAATCACGCTTCCCGGTCTTCGACCATGCCTCCCCGTTTTGTAACTACAACCCACGCTCCAAAACCACGCCCACCTCCCTGAAACTAAATCCTAAAACCACGCCCCTGAAAACCAAGCCTCCTTGAAACCACACCCCACGCGCCAAAAACACGCCCACCTCCCTGAAACCACATCCCACGCCCCAAAACACGCCATTGCCTGAAACCACACCCACGCGCCAAAACCACGGCCATCTCCCTGAAACCATCCCACGCTCCAAAACCACGCCCATGCCCTGAAACCACATCCCACGGCCCACCTCCCTGAAACACAACCCCACGCCCCCAAAACACGCCCCACTGCCCTGAAACCAATCCCACGCCCCAAAACACGCCCCACTGCCTGAAACCACACCCCACCCCCAAAACACGGAAACTAAATCCAAAACCACGCCCATTGCCCTGAAACCAAATCCACGCCCAAAACCACACCACTCCTGAAACCACCCAACGGCCAAAACCACGCCCATGAAACCGAACCCCACGCCCACCTCCCTGAAAGCACACTCCACGTCCAAAACCACGCCATCGTCCTGCAACCACATCCCACGCTCCGCCCTCAAATCACACCACCGCCCTGCAACCTCCCCCCCACCCCCACACGTCTTCCAACCACACCCACGCCCCAAAACCACGCCTCCCACCCTAACCAACCCGCCTCTTCCCCAACCCTTCCCTCCCCCTCCCCACTCCCCCCCCCCCCTCTCCCCCCACCGCCTCGCAAGATTAACTCATCGCACGTCTCCTGTGATGATTATTGCGTGACAAGGGGTTAATAAGGGCACGGCGGGGCGAAGAAGGCACCCATTATCAGACAAGCAACGAACGAGGCGGTTTTGCGGGCGTGGGAGCGAGGGGGCGGGGTGGGGAGGGGGGGGGGGGGGGAGGGAGGAGGGAGGGCGGGCCCAATAAGCTCGTAATTTTTCGAGACATAAATTGTTTGTTTGTACATGACAGCGGGTGGTGGGTGGGTGGTGGGGAGGGGGGAAGGGGGAGGGGGGTGTGAGGGGAAGAGGGGAAGGGGGGAGGGGGAGGGGAGGAGGTGTGAGGGGGGAAGGGGGAGGTGGAGGGGGAAGGGGAAAGGGGAAGGGGGGAGTGAAGGAAGGGGTGTGTGTGGTGAGGGGGGAAGGGGGGAGGAGGTGGAAGGGGGGAAAGGGTGGTGTGAAGGGTGGGAAGGGGAGGGAGGGGTGGGAGGGGGGGTGAGGGTGGAAGGGGGGGTGGGGGGATGAGTGGAGGTGTCGGAGGTGCTTTGTGAGTGACGGAGGGGAGGGGAAGGGGAGAGGAGGGGGAGGGGGGGAGACTTTTATTATTTTGCGGTGTGAAAGATAGTTATCATTCACTCGCTCTGGCTCGGGGCGGAGGAAGGAGGGGGGGGGGGGAGACTGGTAGTGTTCTTCGTTGGATTTCTTTTTGTTTATTTTTTGTCTTTGTCTTTTTCTTTCTTTTCATTTTTGCGTTCTATCTGTTCTGTGTTTCTTTTTTTTTTTTCTCTCTGTTTTGTTTCTCTTCTCACTCTTTCTCTCTCTCTCTCTCTCTCTCTCTCTCTCTCTCTCTCTCTCTCTCTCTCTCTCTCTCTCTCCCTCTCTCTCTCTCCTCTCTCTCCTCTCTCCTGTAAAACACACACGCAAATAAACAAATACAAACACACAACACACACACACACAACACATCACACTACAAAAAACACATTAAACACAAAACACAGAGAAAACAAATCAACAAAAATGTAACTACGATACTCATACAACCATCGCAATCTGATAACCCCCTCCCCCCCTCCCCCCCGCAAAAAAGTACCTACGTATATGTATGGTTTTCGCGTCCGTTGTCCGTTGTCTGTTGTCCATATTTGTCTTTTTAATTGCGACCTCGCTAAGTGGTTTGCCTTAAGCTGAATTTGTTTTGAAAGGGAGAGGGGTGGTGAGGGGAAAGAGGGAGAGGGAGAGGGGGGATGGGGGAGGGAGGGAGGGGGTGGGAGGGAGGGAGGGGAAGGAGGGAGGAGGGAGAGGGAGGGGAGAGGAGAGAGAAGAGGGAGAGCATAGAGAATAGAGTAGAAGGGAGTGAGCAGATAGAGTAACAAAAATAAAGTAAGAGAAAGAGGGAGAAAAGGTGAGGAGAGAAAGAAACACAAAGTGAAAAAAATAAATAAAAGAAAGACAAAGATCTAAAAAACAAAGAACCAAAGACCAATAAAGCCCCAGACCCGACACCCCGGCAGCGCGCGCCCCGCCGGCCCGCCCGCGCTCATCGACTGCGGGGCGGGCGGAGGCGAGCCACACGCGCCCGCCGCTCTGCCTCCGCGGAGCCACCGTGCACCGCCCGCGCTCCGGCCGCCGCTGCTTCGACCTTTGACCTTTTTAATCGCGTCTGTGTAGATAAATTCCCCGCCCTTTCCCTCGTCTTGCAAACCGGTGGCTGGGCGGCGCG